GTCAAAATTCTGAAAGATCTAATATTTCTCTATTATTATAACAAATATCATCAGATTTTATCTCGTATATAATTTATCTTGTACATAAATAACACCTCTACATCAGGCCACTTAACATTGACAAAATCGTAATGAAATTGGTACATTAGCTATTTTGATATCTCAACTACTGCCATACGGACATAAACTGGTTTATATAACTTCAGATTTGTGTTTCTCCGTAGAATGTCTACTAGATTGTCATTAAACATTTTCGTAGTGACAAAATCTTCAGATGTTACAACTTTTTTTCGAAGTTCCACGTAATTGATGATCTCAATATTGACTCGCTTTTTAACATTTTCTATGGTTTTGCCAAATACGCTGTTATTTATAGGCTTGACAAAGGTTTTTGAATTCTGTTTTGGCAGCTGCTCGTCGTGCTATGTTTCGTCCAATATGATTTTCATCTACGGCGATTGATTATATTTTTTAACAACTGAATGACCACTAGTTTTAAAACTAGACGAATAATTTATGTGTTCATCAGATAATAAACTGTAATCGATCAGCATCGACTCTGGACATAATGGATATGCATATCATAAGGCTCAACAGGATAGTCAATATCAACTTCTGTGAGATAACTAATATCATCCGTTATAGCTTTATCTGCTACATCAAACAATGTTTTTCACTGATCCACCTAAACTGATCAATAGGCATAGACTCTGATAATTCGTTACCATACAGATTATTTGCATCTAGCTAGGTTATAAAACTTGATGGTTCTGCACCACGATAGTCGCAGAGATAAACATTATTAACTTGAGCATATGTGTTATAACACTTACTCCAACTAGGATTCCAAGTTCTGTAAAGTTGAATATGTCAGGGTCTGTTCATTAGTTTTAGTTTTGTTTTGCTGTACTTGAGTAATGCATCCCAACTTAGTCTGGGTGCTGAATAGTACCACATTGGGTCGAGTCAGTGATCACATATCTGACATTTTTAATTACATCTGCAAGCAGCAGTACAGCAGTCAAAAGATACATGTCATTATGATCCCCCAAATTTGTACAGCCTAAGGAGTCCCACGTCGATTTCACATAGGCATAATTGACATGTCATTATGATCTCCCAAATTTGTACAGCCTAAGGAGTCCCACGTCGATTTCACATAGGCATAATTGTCGTCACTAATATCGTCAAGATTTAACAAGAATAAAATTTATCTTTGTCAGGTAGACACGCTTCATTATATATATCCCAGGTATCAAGATACTCGCAGGAAACAAGTTAGTTCCTTTTTGTGTCAATGAACTGCCTGCAGCATCACCAAAATGTTCAATCAAAATTAAATTTACTGCAGTCTTTTACAAGCTCGTCAAGCGATGCTGCCATAAGCTGCAGACTATCAATAAATCTTAACTTGCCTGGTGTTACAGATTTGTACTTTCCAGTGTTATTTGGGATGCTCTTTATATTGTTGTGGATTTTAATTTTTAAGCGGTTATTATATCTTTATTACCAAATGTTTCAACTATAATATTTGTCATAACCTCTAAAATTATGAAATACAACAGGAACGAAATCGGTTGCTGTATATTTTAAATTGCATATCTCGTGTGCTTGACTGTGATACGTTCCAGTAATATCTTTTACTCTATTATAAGGCAAAAGCATCTGCTCACAAATATGGCATATTTCTGCTATATTAAATCGTGATTCTTGTTTTGCTTTTAGTGATTTCATTGCTCCTGTCTTAGTGAGTAATATAAATATGAGATCAATTTTGTCGATAAGATTCCTTAGCATGCAAAGAGTAGGTTCCTTATCACGATAAACAGTTATTTTCTTTGATAAAGATTTATCAACAACACAAACAACATTATACGCCGCTACACAGTAAATATGCTAATTTATTTTTCTTGCCGAAGTTTATCTTCGTTATTTTCTGCTCCTTGCACTGGAAGTAAAATCGACGACTCAAAATCTGCATATATTATGAAAGGCACTTTCATCTTGTGTCTGTAATTTGCAAAATTGTAATATTGTTTTTGTCTTCGCCAGGCGTAGATATTTTCTGAACATTAGAACAGTATTCGAATTGTCAGTAAAGTATATGTTGCGATATACAGCCATGAAAACACCAGACACAGTGACATTAATTTTCCTTGTTTTTGTTATACTGACTTCCGGCTAGTATATTTTAGTTTTTTTATATTAAATATGAAATTTACTGTTATTGTGATCCTGGATCGCTGATGTATATGTATATGTATTTATATATATCGCTGATGTATATGTATATGTATTTATATATATAAACTCGTCATCGATACCAAATACATTAATACCTCCAGATAACATATGTTTATTTGACTTTTCGAATGTTGCAATGGGATATTCAGAAACAGGAAAGACATCCCGTTAAAGTTTGGTTTTTAACGAAGAACGTGTTAATGATAACAGTAGAGATTATGCCAAAGTTTTACAAGTTGTCATGTAAGACAAAAATAATAATATATTGACATTTGAAAACGTCTCTAGTGTGGGATGCGCTTTGTGATCTATTTTGACATTGAATCACTGCTTATTCCTATGACGTGTAGTTAGCGACCCAAATAAATCTTCCTCTGAAAAGATGAAGCATCTGTTTCCTGCGGCTAAGCTTGCAAAATTGTTTGCCTTTTCGATAAGATTAACAAGCAAAAATATATATACTGCAGAGGAAACCGTGACGAACATTTTATACAGAGCCTTCTAGGAGACTTGTGACGCGTATTCCACGCACAAAAGTAATCTGTGATACAAACGACAGAGATAATTATATTTCATTTTGGGGTTTGATAGCAGCCACTATGTGAATGCACAGTTCAAAATCTGTCATTTCACTGGCCGCTATCAACGTGCTGATCATAACAAATGTGATCTTCGATTATTTTCCAGTATTCTTTCATAATCTCAGCTGCTACTACTTATAGTGAAAGGTTTTCTAAAATTCAAGAAGAAAATAAAGTGAATGCTAAAGAACTCATAAAAATATTTATCATCACCTCTCTGGGGCCTGCGTTTTATGGGCATCTGACATTTCATAAATGGTTCTCTTGAGAAGCTAGTCTAACACAGAAAAGTTTACTGGTACAAATGAAAAGAATTTCCTGGCGACAAGCGTAACACGATCTCTTGGAACGGAATTTATTCATAATACTACATAACATCAATGGAATATTTTGATAAGACAACATGGTCAGCAAATGAAGACCTCTACAGCAAGTTAGACGGCTCAGATATTTATGATATGGATTACGCTTATGCGGCAAGTGTTTGGAATAAATTGACATAAAATGTCGTGGTGATTATTATGATCTGAATTCATAATGTACATGCTGCTGATGGCAGACATGTCTAAAACATTTCGTGACCATTTGTATGTCGTATTACAACTTATATCCTGTTTCATATTGTTGATCCCAAGAATCATTGTGGGGATATTGTGTTAAAGTTGACTAAAAAAATCAGCTGAAGTTGCTTACATATATTATATTGATAATTTTATCGAAAACAAAAAGGAATAAGCGCTGGACTTTCAGTCATCTCAAAACGACATTTCTATAAAACCTAGACGACATATTATATGACGTATCTGACGATCGTTTGGCTGGGCTTTATAACAGAAGGTACCATCGGGCGACATTGCTTAGATGGCTCCAGAATATTAAACCGAACAATTATTATGGAGCGATGATGACACAGGATAATTTCATAAGGTGCGTTGAGAAGATCCTACAGAGAAATACATGACACCTATAATTAATTAGGCGCTAGCAATAGAAAATACGACCGTATACGATAATATGCCATGCACATATTCTGCAGTGCTCAAGAAAACTAAACTTAGCGTTGGCAATTTCAGGATGCCTAAGTTAACCCCAAACCTATTTGGGAAAACGCGTTGCGAAATCCACACAAACATCTGAGTCAGTGCCTAGAGTTAGGAATGAGGCTATAAATATTATTTCGTCGAGTAGCCTGAATACATTAAATCAGGAAGCACCAAGGGAGACATATTGATTTCAACACATGCACACGAGCATCTGTTATAAACGATTTTCAGCTAGATTTTTTCAAGCTTATTAATAATTCGATATTTGGAAACCATTCAATAATATTACAAAAAGTATCAATATCACGCTACTCGACGACCTAACGAGACGCAACCAATATAATCTATGTTGGGGTTTGCAACAAGACAAGGAAATCCCAGTCATTGGGTTGCATCACGTCTTAGGTCATTTTGTGGTGACAAATAATGTAACACTATGAATGAGATTTCCTTGTTTTGGTACAAACTTCAACGCAGATTATATTATTCTCACCCATGCGACAAAGAAATATGTCTGTTTTGCTAACCTTAATTTTATTTTATCTCAGTCTGATTATCTCTAACCTGTCGTCTCTTTCATGGTGTCAACACGCAATGAACTTCTTTTTTTTTAAAACAAACCCTTGATATCTTTTGCTGTGCCTGACTGAGATGTTATAAAATCCAACAACAACAATTACATAACAAAAAGAAATTCACTTTAAAAGCAAATGAAGGACTCTCCAACTTTGATACCACTATACAAACTATTTTCACACACACACACACACACACACACACACACACACACACACACACACACACGCACGCACGCACACTGAGCTGTTTGATACTCCAGACACACTGGTAATACTTATTACTGGCCACATAAAATGAAACTCATTCAAGTGCTACTGCGAACCTGTCAAAACCAGATATATGTTATGTCAAACTAGTTTATTCTAACTTTGTCGAACGCAACCCATCGGCCCAAATGAATCAAATATAATAATGCAATTGCAAATGTAAACTCCTGTGCTTACCAACCAGAGTGGCTTATTCATCAGCTTGACGCAATTCCACAAAAGGATTTCAATGAAGAGTATCATTGCTCTATTGATAGCAAGACTTGCCATATTTCCACTAAAACTGCTCGGTGCCCTAATGGTTAGAACGTCCGCTTTCGATGCGCGCGGTCACGGGTTCGAATCCCGTCGTATCATACCAAAGACTAAAAAATAGTGCTCACAGCTTACTTGCTTGGTGATCAGCATTAACAGGTTATTGTTAGGAATGGTCGGCCTGGTGTCAGAATAATGTGACTGGGTGGGACATCATACCACTTGTCTGCGGCATGATACCCCAGTGCTAGACATCACTATAAACTGCCACACTGCAGACATCGTAGCAATATGACTAAAAAATTGTTAATGCTACGTTAAAAATCTAAATCACACACACAAACACACACACACACACACACATTTCCACTACAGACAATATACATTTCCAAGAGAGTCATGAATAAGAAATTTCTCGATATCACCAAATACTTCGCTAGAACTGTACCCTGTATGCATATTCTACTGCACAGTATCGTACCGTTGCCTGCCGTATAATGTTTTACAATATTAGAACTGTTGAACGCTACAATTTAATTTTGAACGATATTTTGATTTATTTATTGATACTTTCATATGATTTCTATCGAGTAAATACGTTAATACAGTAATATCAAGCGATTTTATTTTTCTATTTTCTCATGCGAAGGACAGGTCACCCCATTGCCTCATTAACATAATATTCGTCTTAATGCGCTGTACATATATTTGTAAAAACAAATGCACGTCCTTCAAGACGCTCGTTGTGCAATACTTCGAGCACATAATACTTATATGTTTTTCTGATCTTTTTTCGTTTTCTAGGAGCGGCAAATATAGGTAGATACTACTTAGATAAATATTCAGATTGTCATACAAGACTACAAAGCCTGACTACTTTTATATTGTGAGAAGCAAAAAATAGCACGTGATAAATACTGTTTTGAATCTGCTAACTAAGTTGCAAGCTTGCAGGGTTATTTTAGTTTAATTGAAAAAAATTGTGCGAGAAGAAGAATCTATGTATGTGTTTGCACCAAGACTAAGAAATGCCAGACGCGGGGTTAAGTTATTTGTCTCCACACGAGGCTCTGAGTAATTTTACCCTTTGACTGAGATTTCCTTGTCTCGGTCCAAACATTGACATACATTCGATTATTTTTTTTGTGCATCGCAAATTACTGAAACTCCTACCGCGATGTGATATTTTTTATTTTGGTTTGCCGGATTTGCAATGACAATCATGTTTGTTTGACATTTCTAAGTTCACCAAGAGAGCTGGCTTCACAATTTATGTATATTGGGTGTATTCTCCCGACTGCCATTATCCAATGCATCATGATTTCTAATTGCACTTCAGATAGAATACTATCAAAAACAAAACGAATACATAACACGTTACCACCAAAATATAAACTTATTGCAGACTACACAAAGTGGCATTCATACCAGCAGCAGCAATTTGGCGAATATGAATATTTAGTGTCGCTTTACAATAAAACAAGATAGAATGTTTTCTGGTTCCAAGCATGTTTTCTCCTTTAAACAAAGAGCTTACATTTTCTTCCTTGTAAGAATTTATATTTGTTGTTCACATACGGCGATACATTCTCTTGTGTTTTCCAGATTTACTATAAATTATTCGTCTGTTGCGATACCGATTCAAAGTTCATGTTGCGATTATCCAACCTGTTGCCAGTGATCCAAACAATAATGATGTCTCTCGGTATAATACTATGCCAACACCCAAAAAAGAAAACGACGTGCGTTCAATACCCACTTGCATATCCCTTTGCTGGTTGTTGCAATCAGAATCTAGTGTTTTTTTCCGGATCTTGTCTTCTTGCTCATATACTTCATTCAGATTTTAATGCTCTCTCCATGCTATAATATATAAGTACTTCCGCCTGTTTAATTGCAATATCACTCGCGCTTTTTGTGTCAAATCAATAAGTATACTAGAATCTTTGTCATTATTCGCCTTCATTGTTGTGCAGATTCAATATATAAGTATCAACACACCCTTAGAGTTAAATCAACATTGTTATCTAGAATCAATATATCAGCTTTGATCTGTCATCACTGGCTTTCACTTTGATGTATATCATTATATAATCACAGGCAGTTTATGATGCTGGTGCTAAAATCATTATACTGCTCTGTTAGATTGCATAATAAGATGCTGCTACTTGAAAACACCGTCTACGTTTCCACATCAGCTCTCTGGGGTTTTCCTATAGCATGATTTGCAGACAAATGGCCCTTTCTCTGACGAGAGCTGTTCTTTCCGAGGTGAGAGAACATCGTCTGCGCAAATAAAATAACACAGAAAAGCTACGCGGTGTCATGTAAAAATGTACCCGTGTTTTATGATACCCTTTTCCTATAATTCTGACACTAATGTTCCCGAGGCATTATGGCATCTTGTATAACCCGTGAAAAATATAAGTGAATTGCAACAGATATTTAACCGCAAAAGTTAGAACATGAAATCTCTGGCTATAGACGAGAACAAACAAAAATAATTTAATATGGTTTGAAAAGCAAAAGCTGTTTCTAGAAAATATAACCTTTGAGCTTGGATAGGAGTCAAGAGGCAATGGTAAAAAGTTTCACTTCTGCTCTAAGTATCAGATATTTGAAAATAATTGTGTATGATTGAAGCGTTTCCCATTCAGGTTTTTATGCCAGAAAATCATCGAGACGTGTTCTTGGCTATTCCGTACATCAAGATAGTTTCCACCGGGTAAGGGAACTAATAATTTGTTATTACAATATTGATCCTCTTCGCTGAACAACATTTGGTATAAAATTGCTGAACGAAGCCACTCTGACATCTTTCCTTGGCTTATTGTTATTAACATCGAAAACTTCGACTTAAAGGTGGCTCTTGTTCAGATGGATTTAATCTTCTGTTTGTCTTTATATTTCATTTCATTTTATTTGAAATTCGAATGAGGTTGAGGTAGTCAAATACAACACAAGATAATTTATACCCATTGGGATTCTTGTCTCGTAATTATCCTGGGTATCATGGCAAACAGATTGAGTTCTGATTTAGAATATTAACAAGAGTTTCGTTGCATATTTTCCCCTATTTTAATCGATAATTAAAAACATAAAATTACTTGGATATTCCTGTAATTTATTTTAGTATACTTTTTCTCGACAGGTTTATGAAAGCTGATTGGGTTTGGTCGGGTCTTTCGGTCTCCTCTTTGCTGTGTCGTAGAGAAAGAAGTAATGCCTTGACCAAATGTGTGAAGCGAATCAATAGAAATGTCTCAGCGACCCAATAGGTTGTCACGGAATATTATGAATCTCTTTATTTATTAAACACATGTACTTGGGTTTCATTTATTGTGTACAACGATACCCGATGATGATTTATGTATATTGTACAATATTTCGAATTAATAAGTTCGGTTCATTAAACGTCGCATGTGCGAAGTCCTTTCGATGGTAAAAACGAATATTTCCAGTCAATAGACGATGTAATACTGTGAATTCATTGGCAAACACGGATAAATTAAATTTCAATTTGCTTTCGTTTCTTAGTAACTAGATCGACCCATCATAGAGTATTACACTAACTCGAGTAATCAAGTCCGTAAATCCACTAAAGTTTGGTGAGCACATGATTTATTCCTATATATTATTCCAAAACATATGTTTAATTTGCCTGCGTCTGGATATCTTCATCAGTACACATTCAACAATCACTAAGATCACCATACGTTATTTTAGACACTTCGGATGTAGTGGCCGATTCAGTCAGACACCTTATATTTTCTTAGTTTTCTTTTCTTTTCTTCACAATCATGCCCTGATATTTCCGTTCCATTATGAGGTCACTCCCAAGTTAATCAATTTGTGAGACTATTACGCTTATATCTCTGGAAACGCATATAATAATGTTGGGCTTCTTGAAAAATCGACATGATGCACTTAAACAATACAGCCGTCGAAGTTTCTTTGCTACAGACTTTAAATCCAGTCATTTGGTAGTTTAATGCTATTTTGAGTTACTTCAAAAAACTCTTTAAAATTATTAACATCGATCTGTTTTTTCGTCATTACTTGCCACAGTCATTCACTAGTAAAAAAGAACATCTTACAGTCCGAGCAATGATTATATCTGTACAGGTTATAAGGCTTGATTTTTGATCAAAACTGTACTACTGAGCTCATGTCATGAGATTTTGTGGTGCTTGATTATCGATTGATTCAGTGCTGCTGATTGTCAAATAAACGAATACAGGCTATAAAATGTGTATGCGTTCTTGTCGACTTTCATATATTAATGATCCATTAGTTGAATGTTTCTGTATTTCCCTTGATTGTAAAATTATGTGGGACAAATCCTGAGGATTTGGGTCAGGACTCACAGGGTCACCCAATGTGTCACTACTACTTGAAACTTGAACTGTATACATTTTCACAGTATACTTGTAAACTTATTAAAAAAGTGGCTCTAAATTTTATACGTGTCTCTAATATGAAACTAATCTTTGGGAGCTACTGAATATTTTTTCTTGGTTCTTGAAATTATTGGTCTTGTTATAGAGGAGATAGATGGTGTTTGTTCAGGCACACTCATATTATCTTCGAAATTACAGGCAGGCACTGATGCTAACATTTCCCTTAACATTTAAAATGACACAGAATGTGTTGTCGTTTCGTCTTGATTCGAAACTTTTATTTGATTATGTTTTACATTCTACTTCCTGAGATAGAATGAACATCTCGCACTAAAAGCATATATATTCATTGAGCTTTCAAACTGAAGAAGTAAATGAATGAGTAAACAAATATGTCTCCTTTCTTCATAGATTAACAAAGAGATAATCAATAACATACCTTTAAGAAGATTATGGACTACTCCAAAACAAAAATGCATTTGCCTTTTAATTTCCTAAAAACAAGGAGAAGGAAGATGTGTAGCGTTGGTCAGAAACAGAAAGAAAAAGACAACTCAAAATCTTAAAGAATCTCAATGAAGCAAAATCAATAAATGAAAGTGAAGAGGAACCCGTGCCATTGAAGAAACTTTTATAAAGAGACATGCTGTGCAAGAAAGAAGAAAAACAAAATTGGTCTTTTGTGATGTGTTACGAAACGTT